CTATTGCATCTATTTGTCAAATAATAATTTTAATTAAGTTGTTTGTATTGTATTTGTATTGTAACGTCAGTGTTTGTTTTATAACTATGTATTCTGCAGAGAGAAAAGTTTTGCAACTATATATTGAATGGGAAGATTGTTGGAAAGATGAATGTAACTTTCCTTTAGTTAAGCGAATAATTAGCAGTGATAAAATCACTAACAAAGTAATTTCAATTTTAATGTCAGTTTTTCAATTAAGAAAAGATTTATATAGTTTTATGAGCTATATCTTGCCAATAGATTTTATTTTGCCTAGCAATGAGGAATTTGACCTGATGTGCAGAAAGTTAGTACGCCAAAAAATTCATTATAAAAATAATTCTTTAAAAAATGAACTGTTTTTTAATATGCAACTGTCGCAAGCTCCATGTACAAAAAAAAAAAAAAATTCAGCAGATGCAGAGGAATTTTTTATTTTAAATAAGAATAAGGAGCTACTGAGTCAAGTTGACAAGTTAACTTCTGAAAATAAAACAAATATGGAGCAAATAGAGATATTAAAAACTCAGTTATTTAAGTTGGAAGCTGAAATTACAAATTTAAGTTCGAAAAACAGGGCTTTTAACACACATTGTAACTCATTAAGTTCTCAATTAAAGTGAGTATTAGGCTAAAACAGGAGGAGCAGTTCCAACTTATTTCAAAAAAAAATCAAAACAGCACAATGTAAATTTGCATCTGCTCGTGCTAAAAATGTCAGTTTGCTAAAAAAAATTAAACTTGAAAAAAATAATGCAAAAATTAGTGATATAAACCAGAATAGTTGCCAGATTTGCAAACATTTTTTAATCGGTGATAAGGATTTAGTTATCGTGGATTCTTATTTAGACTATGACAACATTGGTTCTTCTGAATTGTTCTGTGGATTTAAGTTGAGTAATTCACAGACTATATCAGTTGAAAGGCCCATAGTTGGTAAAAAATATACTTATATTAAGTTAGGTCATGGTAAACCTTATTCTAAGTTAAGTAGACATTCTGCAGCTAGACGATCTAAACTTGCTTTTATATTTCTTCGATTATTAGCTTGTTCAGATTTAGAAAGTGATTTGTCTATGTTGTTTTGTGATTCTATGTTTTGTGAAAAGTCAATAAAATGTTATGTAGCAAACAAGTTAGGTTTAGTTAGGCAATTAAGTGTTTCTGATACTGTAGAACTGCAGAGCCAATTAAGGATGCCCACAGCTGAATTCCGTAGGTTAAGACGTATTCTGTGTAATCTTGGTGCAAGGATTCTTGCCTCTGAGCCCAAGATAAGACAAGAACAAGAAATGCGGACAATGCATGTCAATAAAGAACATGTCACTGTGAAGTCCATGTTACTTTATCCATCTGCGAATGAAGCACCTTGTTTAGTATCTGTACTGATGGTCAAGAATTTGACAACTTATATTGAAGAGGTTTTTAATAGTCTTTATGTACGCGACCACCTTAATTCGGATGTTGGTTTTGGCGAAGAGGTAAGGCTCCTTTTTGCTGGGGATAAGGGTGGAAAGTATGTGAAATTCCATTTTGAAGTTGCCAATTCTAAATCATCAGGGTCTGTATATGATGTTCATTTGTTTTGTATGTATCAGGGTTCAGACTGTCGTGAGAATATTGCCTTAATTCTCAGGCATTATGCCAACGACATTAAAAGAATTCAGTCGTCAGATTTTAAGCTAAAAGGCAAAATAGTCAGGTTGTTCTTAGGTGGAGATTTTCATTTCATCGATGATGTTCTGGGACACCAGGGTTCAGCTGCTAGCTTTCCTAGTTCTACAGATCTAGTTGAATTGAGTTCTCTTAGAAACCATGCTTCTATGCCTCACACACCTGCTAATTGCAACATCTTAAGGAGGACAATACAATCTCTGGAAGGTGCTTACAGTGAGAACTTGTGTGATAATAGACAAGGTGGAAACTTAAGAGCTCTAGGTAAGTTTCATAAATCAATTATTGCTCCTGTGATTTTCCCCATAATAACTTTAGATAATGTAGTGCCACCTGTTTTGCATATTATGTTAGGAGTTGTGTTAAAACTGTATAAGTTATTGTTGAAGGAGTGTAAGACTTTAGATTGTCAAGCTGTTTCGTCTTTGTCGCATAATGAGAATGTGAGAACAAATGAATTGTGGGCTGCTAAAAGCGTTGAATGTTTTAAAACAGCAGAAGCTTTGCGTTTATTAGGAAATCAATTTGTAGACATTGCAAATCTACAGGCACGATGGTTAGCTTTTAATAGCAATTTTTCCGAATTAGATAGCATATCCCTAAACTCCTCCAATAAAAAAAAAACCTGTAAACAGCAAAAAATGTGTGCTAGTATCAGATGTTTAATTACAAAATATGATAGTAACATTGATTGGGTGCAGTGTGTTACGTGTAAAAAATGGTTTCATCAACTTTGTGAAATTATTGGTGAATCAGAAAGAAGTGTATTGTGTGATATAGCGATGTACCAGTGTTTAGCATGTCAGGGTGAAGATATAGAATGCCTTGACCTGTATATTTCTGAAAAAATTTCTTTTATACGTGCGCAACGCGAAGTTTTAGATGTTGAATATATTAAATTGCAGATGGAGTGTGAAGACCTAGAAAAAATATCCAAAAGTAGCATGGGGACTCATGAGAAGTCTCTTAATAAGGCCCTTGAAGATATGAAGGTTGAGCGACAAGCGTATCATGGTAATGTGTTTGTAGGTAATCATTGCAAAATAGTCTTAAGAAACCATTATAAACTTTGTAGTGTGATTGTTGATGAAGCTAATAAAAATAGATTTGTTGCGTGTTTAGTGTTTTTAATAAGTTGCAACCAATTCTTTTTAAGCAAAAATTTCTTTCTGATAATTTCTTCATCAATATGTAAATTTATTTGCTATCGAGTTTCATGCTTGCTTTCCAAATGAAAGTATCACACGAAAAATGCATGAGCTCATTTTTAATGTGCCACTATTTGTAGAATTGCATAAAACTATTGGGTTGCTGAGTGAAGAGGAGGGAGAGTGTTTGCATAATAGTGTAAATAAGGAATTAAGACAGTTGCATTCGGTAAGAAATCAGAAACAGAAGCTGCGTCTTTTTTAAAACGCTTTGAATTGCACAACAAAGCTGATAGGAAGCTTCAAGCCTCTAAGGTGAGAAAGTGTGTTGTGTGTTCTGAGCGTGGTGAAAGTTCATTTTATAGACAAGGCCTATGTCTTGTTTGTGGTCATAAAATTTAGTCTAATTAAAAAAAAAAAAAGTTTTTATATCTAAGATGAAATAAATAAATAGTAAATAAGTAAATTTTATTTTGTTTTATCATGTCTGTGTAATTTTACTTTAAAATATTTATTGTTTTTTATTATATTAATTTTATATTAGGTAGGTGCCCATTTTATTTTTATCTTCACAAGTTAATTATACCTATGCAATACCATCCAGGTTAAAGAATGGTATATAAGTCTAGCATCAAATCGGTGTAAAAATATAGCTTACTACTTTGACTTATGATAAGAGCATCTGGTATGTTTGTTGGCTATGATATTAAATAATTTTTTGTGTAGTTAATTTAAAAAATGTATTGTATTTTATTATATGTAACATTTAATTTAAATATTAGATACCCATTCGGCTATTATCATCAGAAGTTAGTTCTACCTCTGCTCAACATACCATCTCTCTGGTTAAAGGATAGAATTTAAGTCTCATAAATAACAAGTTATTGTAAAGATACAGTTTAAATTAAGAATTTGTCAAAGCTATTGTCACTATTGTGAGTCTGTTAAATAAAAGCTTTTCTTCTGGTTTAGAATGGAGCCTGAATCTATAATCAACTAGGTGTACAAAGATCTTTTTCTAATTAAAGAACTTATCAGTGGATCAACTTATTATAAAACAGTTTTTTATGAGAATAAAAACACATTACCAAACAATTTAAATTAGCTATTTGTATATTTAAAGAAATGTTTTATTTTTTGTGAGAAGAGATTCAAATGCTATAAAATAATTTATTACCGAATGCGAGAGAAGAACAATTCAAAAACTTCAACTTCAATGAAATATTTTATTAGACTTTTTTCAAAATTGAAATCTGGCTTTATTTTGTAATGCATTGAATTTATTAACTTAATGAATTATTTTCACATTTCATATTTAAAAACGTACTTGTTTAACAGCTAATCCCCCTTCAAACGATATTTTTCATAATTTTGCAATAAATGTGGTTTGCTTGCAGACTGCAATAAAGACTGTTTTAGTTAACCTTTAACAATTAAGTAAGGTTTGTTTATTTTAATAATAGTCAAACAACGAATGTATTTGATAATAACTATCAGAATTATATTTTTCTGATTTTTCTTTGATAAAAAGTTACGAGAAATTACTAAAATTTGGCCGAGTTCATCATTTGTCGTGTTTTTTATGAAATAAAAGAAGCTTTTTTACTACTGTATTAAATGTCGTGTGATAAAACATTTTATTGTTGTTTTTATTCTTTTTACAAAACAAAATTATCTCAAATATTTCAAAAGTTATAAATGTTTTAGGAACACCCCCTACGTCAATATTTTCCAAAAAAAAACAAGAAGCCGTAAAGCTCACTCTGAAACAGCCGTGATACGTAAAGTACATTCATTATGTAAACATGTTACGTAACAGTTATGTAACATAACTGTTACGTAAAAATGATACGTAATGTTGCATATGATTAACGGACATTTAGCACGCATTGTAACCTGGTTTTGTTATGTAACAAAACTCAAAAATGTTATAGGGGATTGCAGATTTATAACATTTTTTCACAAAATCCAAAAAAAAATTACATTTTTCTTGTTGATTGCCTTTAAAACAGCTTAAAATTTAAATGTTGATAAATTTTTGTTGTCAATAAATTTACACTTTTAATAAAATAATAAAAATATAAAACTAAATATAATAAAAAATCTTTTATTTATCTAAAACGACTTGCAATAATGCAACAAAATTGTGGAACTTACCTAAAATTGACAATAGTAGAGATTTTTCATTAGATTTTTTCAAAGGATTCAGGTTAACAAGAAACTTCAATAGACTATTTTGACTTTTATTAGTTAATCCACAAATCATTGATAAACAACTCTTTAGCTTTGGCCTTATAAATATGTTGTCCATAATCTCTTTACTGCTTAAACAACTATATGCATACACAGATGCACAAAATTCCATTATTGTCAAATGTGCAAACTGGTAATGATAACCTAGATGTGTTTCAACCCTTTCAATAAAACCAAAAAAACTTTCCTCAACTTCATTAAAGTCATTGATAAAAAGTAAAACTTCCTCTTTCGAAAAAATAATTTTATTTTCAATAAACAATTCAAAAGCAATCCTACAAATGTTTAAAACATATTTTTTATTATTTTCATTTTCCATCATTTGATAAACCAATCCATTGTTTTTAATGATGTGTTTGTACAAAAAGTATAAAAAAATATTTGCATACAGATCTGTCATGGTTAAAAATGAAGTGGTATATTTTTTATTTAAATCACTTATAATTTTACACATAAAAGATAAATAAAATGGAACAGATGCCATAGCTTTTGCAATTGTAGATTCTTTTAAAGTTGCTCTGAGAACTTCCTTTTTTTCTTCCATAACATGATTTTCTACATAATTATTTATTCCATTTTCATTAAATACCATAATTTGAATGTTTAACTTATCACTGTGCTCTGTACATATACTTTGGTATTGATCAATTGCATAAACTCTACCAGCAACTATGTATTTGTGTTTTTGAATTTCTGTGAAAGCATTAACAATCAGATGATTACAACTTGAATCCTTATGTATTAATTCATTTAAATATTTAAATTCATCTAATCCATCAATTATAAACAGTGCATTATGATTACTGATATCAACACCATTTATAACATCACTGTAGAAAACATTCAGTAATTCATTAATATTAGAAATATTTTGAAGTTGATTAAGTTTCCTGCATTCCAAATAAAATACAAGTTCAACATTTTTCCAAATTAAATCATTTGACCAATCGAGCAAACATTTTCTTAGCAACCATGTTTTCCCGATACCAGCTATTCCAGATATTAATATTACAGATTTTTCTTTCGTAAATATTTCATTATATGGAATTGGTGTATAACTCATTTGCTTTTCAAGAAATTTCTCTCGTTCAAAACTACTAGCAACATCAATTTGAGTATTTACAGCATCAACAATACATAGATCAACAAATTTATGTACTAAATCAACATTTGCAAGTGCTTTTAATAGTGGTTGAATTTCGGTTATTTTCTCATAATTTATAAGATAATAACTTTTCAATGCTATACATATCTCTGATATATCTAAATAAATCATCATCATTGACATCATAATTATTGACATCATCATTATCTTCACCATTGATATCACTACCACCAACAACAACATCATCATCATCATCATTATTATCAAAAACAGCAATAACAACAACAACAACAACATCATCATCACCATTATCAACAACAACAACATTATCATCATCACCATTATCATCATCACCATTATCATCATCATCATCATCATCATCATCATCATCATCATCATCATCATCATCATCATCATCATCGTCATCATCATCATTATTATCATCAAATTATTCTTATTATTTAATTACCTTTCTTGACACAAAGTCTACTGGCAATTTCTGGTGAATTTGAAAAGTCTAAATAAAAGTTATGCAAAATTAAAGTTATTACTTCTAACAAAACTTTTCATTTAAGGTTAACTAAGTTAGGACGTTTAAAAAACTTCTCATTTAAGATAAATTAAGCTTTCTATGATTCATAAATTTAATCCTACCAATATTTGAGTATAACTAACTTAAAATACTTCAACTAACTTCAAATTTTTTTATTTTTTTTTTATTTTTATTTTTTTAATTATCTTCGCTTCCAACAAGGTTGCAAGCAACCACTAATTAGTGTTGGAAGTTAAATGGAAGAGAAAAGATGAAGATTGTAGAGCAAGATAACAATATACTTTACTTTACTTTACAAATACTTTAATATCTAATTATCAAATAATGAAAATAAGATTCACTTAACTTTAAAAACACTCAAATATTAGTTTTAAAATTTTAAAAATAACATCTGTTTTACAATTTTACAATAATACAATCTTCTGATAAGTCTTGTACTAAAAAATTTTTATTGTTTCCACTTCACTTGGCATAGGGAACCATTACAACTTTCATAAGATTTTACCCCAAAATGACCTAAATTGATTAATATCTGATACAATTTTGGCCTTTCTTATGCAGTTAACGCTTCATGTTTGCACAAAATTTTTCAATTAGAAAAGTTGTGGCTGAATTGTATTTTGGGACAAAATTGATTTCATTTTGTTGATACCATTGGATTCTTGAGTAATGGAAAAATGCAAGATCAAGAGAAAAGATGGGTGAATCCATGTGCTTTCAAATCATTTGTCATTGGTTAGGGTTAGGGATATGCAAGTTGCTTTTATAAACATTCTTTCATTTAAGTTTCAGAGTTAATGAGTCTGTGAAGAATGGCTATTTGATACCACATAAACAGCATAAACTTGCTAAACCACAAACTCACAATCTTGTCAAAAATTTAGGGTTTTAATTGTTTTTACCAAAATGACAGTTTTCACATCCTTTGAGATTGTATAAAATTATTGGCTTGGGAGCATTAAACAATTTTTATCATCCATTAAATGATCTGAAGAGCTCAAAAATATTTGTTTAAAACTTGTTAAAGACAAACCAAATAAGTTGCTTATTAGAGTAGCTTTAGTACTTTCTCTTTTGTTTTCAAATACCATTTTAAAAATGCTGGTAGAACATAGAAATGGTAGAAAAAAGTTAAAAAAATATATATCATAAAAACTAACCCAATATTAATCTATATTAAAATTATTCTATACTATTAGTTTCTTTTTTATATTTATAACATCAACATAAAATAGAAAATAACATGTTCAAATTTAACACTTTAACACAATTGATGTTCCTGGCTTCTAAGTATTTCAATTGCTTATGTCTAAAGTGTGTGAAAAAATGACTACATTCAAAAACTTTGCTTAAATGACAACAACATGAAGGAAACTTGTTTTTTTTTTGGGAAAATAGAACAATTTTTTTTCATTTTCATCATTATGATCAGGTGAAAACAAAAATTGCACAAGGAATAGAAAAACACAGTTGGAAACCACTAACAAGGTTCAGAAATGTTAACATTTTCTAGATTTACAGTTGTAATGTAAATCACTCTCTTAAAGTAGCCCCCAAATGTAATTCCCCATCATCTTTTTTTTATACTATCCTTGGTAGCAATGTTCAAAGTCCAATATATCTTGATGAAAGGGCTTGCCTTGCTCCTTGGAGTAAGCACCCATGTTTTACTTGAATTTGTTGAGACGCGATTCAAGGATATGGCCTTTCAAAGACATTCTGCATTTCATTTTGGCGTAATTCTTTGTGAGAGTCTGAACATCTAATTATTATTATTTTTTAATCATTTTTCTGATTAGAGAAGTATGACTTTCTATTCCTAACTTCATCTGCGGAATCGTAGTCTATATCTCCAGTACCTGCCTCACTATCTGACTTGCTGCTGTCTCCTAAAGACAGCCAATGCCGCCTAGGAGGAGTCGGACTAGGCAGATCAGGGCTGTGTGGTACTGGGGCAATGAAAGCAAGTCAGGTCTTGCGATAAAGCGTCGGGCGATGTGAATTTTACGTCGTCCAAGAGCAATTTTGTATGTAGCTAGGGCTATTTACGTCGAGCAAAAAATATTTTGTTTGAGTATATTTAAAGATATTTTTGAGCGGAATTTTAATGAAGTAATTTACGATTATTTTAACATTTAATAAAGTATTTTAAAAACTGCACGCAGTTGATATAAAAGTTTGAATTACAAAAAAAAATTAAATATGCTCATTATTTAAGTAGAAAAAATTCAGTTAAAAAAAAAGTTTAAATCTTTTTAAGGTAACATTTTAATAAAATTATTCAGCAATAGCAAAGTTGTTGATAAAATTAAACAAAAAAACATTCTTTTAGTTTTAGATATTTAACTTGAATAATTATTTTACGGGGGTTTGTTAGGTTTTAAAATTATTCCATAGATTTAAAAATATTTATTAACTGTTAGACGTATTTAAAGTATTTAAGAGTAATTTCGAGGAAACATTTTAAAAATTGGTAAGCGCAAATAAAAAAAAATAAAAGGAATAATACTAAAACGTATTCTACTTGATTCAATAAAAAAGTACAGCTATTAAAATTTTTGTAAAAAGTAACTCAAAAAAAATTACTTAAATAATAACAATCGCTTTTTGTTAAAAGTTATGAAACTCAACGAAGCTTGCTCAAGATCAGCTGCTAAAAAATAGAACGCCAATAGTTTTTCGAATAATTTTTAAGAATAATTTTTTCGCTGAAAAATTATTCTTAAAAATTTGGCTTTAAGACTTTGTCTTTTATACCTATAAGATTTTTATTCTAACACTTTATTTTATTTTATTTTACCAAAAATAAAATTCCATGTAAACATTAAAAATCTATTCAAAATGTTTGTTAAAGTTTTTTAGTAATACGAGTGATTGTGCTTATCAACCGCTTTATGAAAATAAATAAAAATAAATAAATAAAAAAATATTATATAAAATCGCTAGTAAAAATATTAGCTATTGCACAGTTTTTAACTACTCGCTGACTTTTTAAAAAGAAAAAATAACTATTTGAAAAACTTTAAATTATATATTTGAGAAAAAAAAAATCAAATATTAGCATATTTTATAATCTTTTTTAAATATTTAGTTATGTTTTTTATTCGTTTAGTATAGACAAAACGTGTCAAACGTCGAGAAAATAAACAAATGTTTTTACATTTTAAAAAACGAAACATTCCAAAACATTTTAAAATAATAACATTTCTACATTAATGATTTAAAGTAGTTTTGCGGTAATTAAGTAAATTGGTGCAGTTAATGTCAATAAATATGAAAAGCAAATAAAAAGAATTTAATGACGTCAAAAATCAAATCGTGCTTAAGCGTCGCGCAGTTTTTATTCATCACAAGGCCTGCAAGTATGTCCAGATAAACGATCTAATGGGGATTTTTGCTGGTGCAACGATTTTTTGGGTTTACCATACAGAGGTAGCAGTTGCTTGAGTGATCAACTCTCACCAAATTTTGGGGATAGCAAACTTCATGGCTCGCTTCTCTCCTTGGTACCAGCCTGCACATAATAATAGATACAAATTACAATAATTTGAAAACAGGAAATTTCAAAATATGGAGCAATTTCATGATGGGGTGTATTTGCCTACAGTACACGACTTATGATAAAACCTAGTAAATTACATTTCTTGAAATGAACTAGATCTAAAGCATTGAAATTTTATGAAAATAAATTAAAACACCTCTAAGCGAGAAGCAACTGTTCAGTTTACCTTTCAGTGTTTCTTGCAATATTTGCATGAGAAATGTGGTGCCCAAGATTTGTTTTGGTCCCCGACCACCACACCAAAGTATGGCTTGTTGGCCTCTCACATTATACAACTTGCTTCAACGGATTACTTTTTCACTCTTGTCTTTGTGAAATATCCACACATGTAGCAGAATGAACCAACCGGATGCAAACAATTTCTTGAAGTCATATCAAATAAATAACTTCTCTTTAACTACAAATTGTTATCCTTTCTGCAATAACATGAATTGGAATCTTGGTTTAAAACTGTGCTTTTATACTTGTACAACTACTTTTGCAACATTTAAGAAAAAAAATTCTGTGAGTTTCTTAAAAATTCTGCAAATTTCTTGAACATTTTAGAGTGTTTAAGAGAATTGTAGAAACATCTGGATAACTTTAGCAGTTCAGGAATATTTTAGGGAGAAACTCGACAAAGAAAGCAAATTGAGAATTTTTTGGAAAACTTAAGATTTTCCAAATTTCAATTGTCACAGTCACAGAAGCAAAGTTTTTCTGGAATAACATTCGATTTCCTTTCTGGTTTAGACCTAAAAGGTTAGGAAAACACACATTCAGGCCTTGCGATAAAGCGTTGGGCGATGTGAATTTTACGTCGTCCAAGGGCGATTTTGCGTGTAGCTAGGGCTATTTGCGTCGAGCAAAAAATTTTTTGTTTGAGTATATTTAAAGATATTTTTGAGCGGAATTTTAATGAAGTAATTTACGATTATTTTAACATTTAATAAAGTATTTTAAAAACTGCACGCAGTTGAAATAAAAGTTTGAATTTAAAAAAATTAAATATGCTCATTATTTGGAAGTAGAAAAAATTCAAAAATTAAAAAAAAAGTTTAAATCTTTTAAGCTAACATTTTAATAAAATTATTCAGCAATAGCAACGTTGTCGATAAAATTGAACAAAAATACTTTCTTTTAGTTTTAGATTTTAAACTTAAATAATTATTTTACAGGGGTTTGATAGGTTTTAAAATTATTCCATAGATTTAAAAATATTTATTAACTGTTAGACGTATTTAAAGTATTTAAGAGTGATTTCGAGGAAACATTTTAAAAATTGGTGAGGGCAAATAATAAAAAAAAAAGATTAATATCAAAACATATTCTACTTGATTCAATAAAAAAGTACAGTTATTAAAATTTTTGTAAAAAGTAACTCAAAAAAATTACTTAAATAATAACGATCGCTTTTATGTTAAAAGTTACCGAAACTCATCGAAGCGTGCTCAAGAACAGCTGCTGAAAAATAGAACGTCAATAGTTTTTCGACTAATTTTTAAGAATAATTTTTAAGAATAATTTTTTCGCTGAAATATTTCTTTTATACCTATAAGATTTTTATTCTAACATTTTATTTTATTTTAATAGAAATAAAATTCCTTGTTAGCATTAAAAATCTATTCAAAACGTTCGTTTAAGTTTTTTATTAATACGAGTGATTGTGCTTATCAACCGCTTTATGAAAATAAATAAAAATAAATAAATATTATATAAAATCGCTTGTAAAAATATTAGCTATTGCACAGTTTTTAATCGTACAATATTAAAATTTCCAGTTTATTACTCGCTGACTTTTTAAAAAGAAAAAATAATTATTTGAAAAACTTTAAATTACATATTTAAGAAAAAAAAAATCAAATATTAGCATATTTTATAATCTTTTTTAAATTTAAGTTATAATGTTTTTTATTCGTTTAGTATAGACAAAACGCGACAAACGTCGAGAAAATAAACAAATGTTTTTACATTTTAAAAAACGAAACATTCCAAAACATTTTTAAATAATAACATTTCTACATAAACGATTTAAAGTAGTTTTGCGGTAATTAAATAAATTGGTGCAGTTAATGTCGATAAATATGAAAAGCAAATAAAAAGAATTTAATGACGTCAAAAATCGCGTCGTGCTTATGTGTCGCGCAGTTCTTATTCATCGCAAGGCCTGCACATTCAACACAAGAACAGAAAAAAGGTGAGAGTTTTTTACATAATGTATTTATATATCTCCATGTTTACATATTTAGTGTAAATAGTTGTTTAAAGTTTTTCAAAAACTTTATTTAAGAGCAATTACATTAAGAAATCTAAAAATATTTAAAAAGCGTCACATGAGACTAAGCTTTGATTGATGGAACAAATAATAATAGAGTTTGTAGAAAAGTGAAATAGATGCAACCTTACAACAGATGCATCTAAAGCAGGTCCAGAAGCATTTACAATGTCTTACATTTAAGAACACACTTAAATGAGAGAGATTTATTAAAAAAACCAGCCTAAATATGACAACATTATTTAAAGCAAAACAATAATTTGAAAAGGTAAAGAATGGAAGTGATCAGTACTGAAAAATAAGAAGAAGAGACAAAATAGAAGATCCAGTAATATT